AAATATCGAACTAAAACAAACTATTTAAAAAATGAGGTGACAAAACCATCTTAGACTGTCCATGAATATTCATTAATGTATGCCCCCTCCCTCCTTTAAATTTCTACCAAATGGCACCTATGATAACATTATAATAAAATCCTATGTGTAGGTATTTATAAAAAATAATAAGCTTAATAATCATAAAAGTACGTTTGTATTTGAAAAATAAATTTTAAAAGCATAGTTTTGAATTACATGTTCATGAATGATAATTCTTTTGAGCACACATACTATTCAGTTTATGCAGTAAAAAAATATGTCATGCAAAGATTAAAATAAATTAAACTAAATCATTCAATTTCCAAGCGAAGCAAGAAATGTATTGTTTTAAGAATACGCTTAGTTGGTAGCATGTGGCAATTTTTTCATTATCCAATTAATATTTTTGAAATATTTAATGATATTTGTAATTAATTTTTTTTTTTTTATTTAAACTCTGCAACAATTAGTTTCAAAATTAATCATGTCAAAAAATTCATATTTATTGTCATTACTTTGGTTCAGTACCTGAATTTAAAAAAGCCAACAATAATAAAAATATCTGTTAATTCCTATGGCACTTGAGACTTCTGAGGTGGCCCTTAGTGTTTAAATTGAATTATTTTTATATATATGGTATTCTAAAAGTAACTTAAATTGTAAAGGGGACAGGTAGAAGAGTAAGGTAGGAGTAAAATGATATTTTCTCATGTTGGTAGGAAGAAAATCAAAAAACCACCTTTATAAAAAATTGTACCATTATTTATTAAAGATTTAAAAGATCAATTGCAATAGATGAAGATATTTTTGTTACACTTTTTCAAGGTTGTTGAAATTTTCAAAAAATTTTTTACAAAAAATGTATTAAATCATGTTAATAAAAACTCTTTTATTATGCGTTAAGAATTTGAAATAAAGAAAAAATATATCATATTCCTTGTTTGGAAAGAATTAAAAAAATAAAAACATCATTGTAAAACCAAGCCATTAACAAATTTTTGTTTTAAATCTACAAAAAACTAAAAAAATCTTTTGTAGTAGCAACATTTTAGATATTGTGTGTACATTAAAAAGTTTAATTTATTTGTGTATTCAATAAATAGTGTAAAATAAAAAACCCAATTATGTATATGTTTATTTTATCAATTTCTACGATGTATACATAGAATACTTTTACTTTTAATTACTAATCTTTGTCATATTTAATAGTTATTATATATTATGTTTCAAAAATGATTAACATCCAAACCTTATTGGCCATCAGTAAAATAACAATTTACTATTAAATAACTATTTGGTAATAGCTCAATTTCAGTAAATCTCCTTATTAAAAATAAAATTAGTTTAATCATATTCTATCCTAACATGCACAATTTTATTCATACATTTATTTGATGGTTAAACTTGATTGTACATATCTATACTAATGCAAGCACAATACGATACTATAATACAATGTATTAATAGCATATTGTCTCATGTTGGAAAAATTACATACCTACAACTGTGTAAAAATATATTAACAATTTTAAAACAGAGAAAATTACTATATTTGAATAAAATTATAAAAATTATAAAAAATTAATGATTATGAAACATAATATGTGTCGATTTCACTACAGATTCACTCTAGATTTCCACCAGACTACCAAAGCAACGTGGTATAAAATGTATAATACTTTATAATCAAAATTAAAAAAAAGGGTTTTATTAAATTTGCATTGGCAGTATAAACGATATGATTTTGTACTTCATTTGTAATACTAGTTTTTCGAAAAATGATAAAGTAAATAAATTTAGTTGAGACTTGAGGTAAATAAAATTAGATTTGCTTCAGGTCCCATTATTATTTAATTCGTATAGGTACGTACAATTACAATTCAGTAGATAACAACTATAGAGATTTCCACTAGTATATTCATTAATAATTGTGTTATTAATAAATTCATTGGTTTTAGTTTTTAACACGTTTTAAAATTTAATTGATGTTTAACAATACATATTTTACCTTTTTTTTTTTTTTTATCTTAACAACGAGTAATAATAGTATTTAATTTATATAGAATATTGTAATATTTAAATATCTATAGTACATACTGTATCAAAACATCTTTCTAAAGCAACTTTTAACAACAATTAGATAAGAGCAAATAAACTAGTCACTGATAGAACAAGAAATATCGTAAATTAGCAATCATATACCAGTAAGGTCATTGAAGTTATGAAGTTATGAGAACCTAATCAAAGTACGTTATTGATTATTATATGATGCCTGCCTTGCAAGGTTTAAGGGTTCTAATGCTTATTGAGAGGTAGTTCCATAAAATGATTTAATTTCCAACACAATAACAGTGTCAAATAAAAGTATGTCATGCAGATATTTAAAATATCAATAAATACTAAAAAACCATTAACAATCTGGATAATAACGTAGCATAATAATGTAATCAGTGCCGGCGCTACGAATGTTGCCACAATGTTTGAAGCCATGTGTTTGCATCGCCACCCACTCTAATAATAGTAAATTAGAATTCTGCTTGGGGCCTGTAACGCCAGTTCAGAATATAATCTCTTGACTTCATAGGTTAAATTGTTAAAAGTTATAAGCGTTAAGTTATACCAAAATAAAATGATGAGCATGCTATTTCACAGTTTCTGTAAATTATATTTTTATTAGGTGTGTAGTGTATGAGTTTAAAAAGAATTGCAAATAGGTAGGTACCCAACAGTTATTGTTTGTTGGTTACATTGCCTATTTGGCTGATATAACTTTAATTGACTTAAGATTGTGATTAATACTTAAAGGCTGTATTATGAAGTATAATATATAAATTATTTATTGTCGTAGAACAATTATGAATTTTTTTTTAGAAGACAATGACAAATGTATGCCACTGTACAATGATCTTTCTATAAGGTTAACAATGGTTATCATAAACCATAACAATGTACGGACGGAGACATATAGATGCAAACTTGGGCAAGTTAATGATAATTTTTGATCAAATTAAGTTAAGATGCCCGGGCTTGTATGTATGTAATAATATTTAGAGTAGATTTCAACAACATATGATTTAAATAAAATCGATAGTCATATAAATTATGTTTTTTTTAAATATATATAATATTGCTTAAATTTAATAAAATTTTTTAAATATGTTAACTTTCAAATAAATGCAATATGTTTTTAAAACAAATTAGAAAATCTATGTAAAAATTTAGGCATTTGACACATTTCGTTATGTATTGAGTTGGTAGGTACCTAGGTATCTAATTTAAATTGTATTTTTGTTTAACTTATTCATTGTAATTGTGTTGCATACAATTAATAAGATTTACTCCAGTTATAACTGCCCATCTATTATAAATTAAAGTTAAAGTTCTTTTTTTTGATACAGAAATTATTAATTTTAATCATTTCATTTCAGAACATTGATCATTATGTTTTTCTAAAATGTATTGTTATTATTATGTTAATGTATAGTTTTTTATTATTTAATAATTGCATTTATGTAAAATGTATACAAACAGTTTATTTTTCATAAAAAATCTTCCATTATTTTTACTCATAACTTCTAACATTCAAAATTGAAATTTATTTAAAAGACCATCACAGTTCTACAATATGGAAAAAAAATTTTTAAAAAATTAAAATATTAATGGGTCAAATGCAATTTTTGTTGACTTTAAACATAGACAATAACTTTGAATACATGCATATGTGCTAACCACAATTTTGTACAAAAATAATAATTGTACAAGCAAGTTATTCAAATAACCAAATAAATAATTAATTTAAATTAATAACTATGGATAATCATTGCGAAGAACAACTTTTTCAATGATAAATTAAATGTTAAAATTAAGTTTATAGAATATTTGGTTAAAAATAATCATCAACCATCACACAAATACTGCAAATTCATTAAATTACTAATAACTTATTTTAACAAAGTATTGTTTTTTTTTTTTTGTTCAATCCTAATAAATAAATGTGCATATAATAATAAAATATAAATATAATAAAAAAATTACATACATCAATACTTTGGAGAAACATAAGTTGATGTATGTAAACATTTAAATGTTTCACCTAATTTTTGTCTAAATCAGATAAGTGTTGGAGGAAGTCCTCTGGAGTCATTATGTGGGTTGAACCTACATAAAAACACACACAATGTAGTTTATGTGCATATTTTTGTCATAATAAATGCTTATACCTACGACCTACCTATTACAACTTCCCAGTTTTTGAAGCTTCTAGTTACTTCATAAGCACTTCTCATTTCTGAATATGTGATTCCACCACTTATGAACAGTATGATTCTTGAACCTTGTTGTTTTGAATTCTTTCCTTTATACCACGTTGCATTGTACCTTGAACTAATACAATTAAATATTTATTTGTAAGACAATACAATTTTTTCATGTGAAATTTAATATAATAATTTATCGAGTAATTATTTTAAATTCTTAATTCAATCAATAATTACACATTTGATAATACACGCCTTATTAAATAAAAACTAAATATTACGACTTACAGTGAAGATTTGTATGTCAATAAAATAATTTTGTATTGTATAAAAATTAGGTAAACATAGGTAGGTACATTTTAAATTTATGTCCAACAAAAATAACACCAAGTTGCACGACAAATAATTACATTGTGAAGTGTGATTAATAACCAAAGATAATGGTTTTCTAGTAAAATACTTATTTAATAACCATTAATATATATTATAATTTAAATATAGAATTTTGCTGTTTCCCACAAATTATTAAAAATGATTTGTACCTATCGTTAAAAAGTGATTACATAAGTATGTAAAAATTTTATAAGTTTACAACATGTTTAAATGTTATTTTTTTTATACAAATAATATTTTTAACACTAACTTTTGTGACAAATATAATTATTATTAAATTGTTTATGTAAATATTTCATGAAAAAACTTCTGAATCTTGTCATTTATAATTTAATAGGTATTCAATATACAGTAGTTATACCTAGACGCTTTATGATTTTCAGCTGAAAGATTTCTAGCAGATATATAAGGAAATTCATCAGGATCCAACTGATTTTCAATACAATATTCAATTATATCTTTGATCTTTGGTGTCCAGCGAGAAACTTGGAATGTATTTTCGTCGACTTGATTTTTACGTTCAGTCTTCTTACGAGGTGGTTTCTTATTGTTTCCCTGAAACAGTAGTTGGATTATTAATTAATTTTGTATTAAAACAACACTTAGTAAGATAAATAATTGTATAACATAGTCATAAAGGTAATTTACTTCTACAATAGTGGTGACACCAAGTTTATTCAAATTGATAATAGTTTGTATATTAGCTGGTGAAAGTTGAGCATTTTGAATAAGTTCATTAAAAATATCTTCTGAAACTCCTTCCATATACAAAATATATAATATAATAAGCCTTATTTTGTTTTGTATTGATACATTATTATCCGTTAAGAAAGAAGAAAGTTTTTTCTTAACATCGTAAGTGATCTTATCTTCAACTGCCTCTTTACCCATAGCTAGGTCTTGTTCAAAAACACAAATGTTTGCTAAATTTTTTCCATAGAAATCCATGCATGTTCTAAGTGCGCTCATATATTTGGTAACATGGTTCACTGCTTCTCGTTGTTGGGGAATTTTGTTAAGGACATAAGATAAACCAGCATGTGTAGAAATCTGTGCAACATCAGCAGGTTTTACGTATCCGGGGGCCACATAGTTCTTTAATTTCAATTTCACAACACTAAAACAAAATAAATCTAAGTTATAAAATTATGTTATCAAGTTTCAGAGTAGATTCTTAACTTACTCTACCGCATGATAAAGATGTTGATGTTTCATCTCTACCCATACCTTGTCTTTATCGTCAAAAACTAATTCTTTTTGAGCATCGTCTTCAGTAAACCTTTCCAAATAAAATATGATATGATATAAAATGTTAAGCATCATAGTAAGTTAAATTAATAATAAAAAACTCACATAAAAACTTTATTTTTTATTAGAAAATTATCATGAGTCATTGCTTGGAAAGTGAGCTCATGCAAAATTAGTGAGATCCAGTCAAATGACCTGTCAATTATAATTAACTGTGAACGAATTTTTTCATAACCTTCACCCATGTCTGGATCATCTTTTTTCATTTTCTTCAGTTCTCCCAACACCAGCTGTGCTAATTCTAAGGTGCTTTTATTGTTACTTTTTTTAATATATCGCACTGATGGATATTCATTTAAAGCATAACAAATAGAGGCAATCTCAAATGCTAAAGTATCCAATTGAGGAATATGAGCACTATCAAGTAATAAATTAAAACATGATTGAAATGTTGTGTGGCTGTTCAAAGAAAACACCTATGGAATATATACAAATCAAAATATAAATTACCGTAACAAGGTAACAATTAGTAATGTTTGAATGATACCATAAATTATTAAACAACACCCACCTGGCTTTCAATTGGTATGAAAGCAATGTTTATCTCTTTGCACGATACAATCTTTCGCATAGGAAGTGATTTGGAGAGAAGATTAAAGATATTATCTGGACATGCTTTGTTAAAATGAAGCAAAATATTAATACTAGGTTAGTCAAAGCAAAACAAGAAAAAAGATTATAATTAATAGTACAAAATATTAGGTAGAAACACCTCCCCTCCCTTTCACGGTAATACTATCAACATAATATTTTAAATTACATAAAATTGCCTTACTTTACCTAATACCTATATACCTATAGCATTAGTAATTAATTCACTATGATATTGTCTTAACATAGCACTACAACTTACTATAATTTGAGTTAAATCTAGAGCGTATATACTTTTATAATATATAAGCGTGAAAGTTCTTGATACAAGTTAAAAAAGTAATAAATCAACTACCAACTACATAAATATATAGGTAATTATAAATAAAATATAAATTTTTATAAATATATGGTTTAGGGCATAACTAATTCAAAAAAATTGCAAATCGTAACTAGGTAGGAACTAAGTTCTAATTTACAAATCATCTACACGATAGTAAAATCTAATAAGATACTAATAAAGTAATAAGTTAAATAGCTTTTATAATTTTCAATTTCCATTGATGGCTAGATTTTATGAGCAATAGGTAGGTATATACTTGATAACAATACAACATGGTTTTGTATAGTTTACATATTTTACATTGCTTTATATAATATGTACTATTTGAAATAAAAAATCTGCATCTTTTATTTAACCAAACCAGTCTAATATAGTTAATGTATATATTTTTTAAATATTTTATATAGATATATTTTTAGTCGAATAATAAAAGTAATTTTTTTAAATTTCTAGGTTCAATCAATCCTAATACAAATCTTCAAAAATTAAATCAATACATTTTTTTAGTAATATTTTAGTAATTATACCCTATATATTTTAAACATCTACTCATAAAACAAAATGTTAATTCATGACCCTCTAATAATTATTTTTTAAGAAAAATCTGGGTTGTATAAAAAATTATACTAGTGAAAATTGAAAATTGAAACAATTTAAGTATAAAAAATATCAAAATGTTTACCATGGGTGAAGTAGATATGGGCTGCTTTATACCTTGTATTTCCTTTCAAGGGAAAATCCCCAAGAAGTGCATCGACTGAACTTTTAGTTGGTGTCAAAAAATAAATGGCGTCCAGATTTACTGGTTCGCGAACTTTGAGCAAATCTTCTACCACTAAAAAAAAAAACAATAAAATAAATAATATATATTTAATTGGTTACTTGCTACGTACCTACTCGTACGTTAATAATGATTCTTAGGGTCAAATTAAACTCCTCTAATAATCTTTCTTTCTTAACAAGAAAGAAATTATGAAAATAATTTCCAATACCCAGGTAACTATAATTATTTCAACAATAGCCAAATGTTCTTTGCCAAATATAATGGTAATAAGAACAAGGAAATAATAATTATGAATAACTTACAATAACTTAGAATACAATTAATTAAATTATTAACTAGTTTTAAAAATTTTGAATTTGAGAGGTACGTATATTTACAGTAGTCTAGTCATTATTATTTGAACAGTTTAGCTATAGTAATTTGAGCCTATCTTAACACTTTTGAAATGGTCCACTCATATAGGTAGGTACATAAAATAACATTGTAAAAAAATAATTAATAAACAAATTGACAATACTATTACATGTGAGGAACAAATTTATCTGTAGAGGCATATTTTTTTTTTAGAGAATATCGTATTTAAATGATAATCTGTTTGATTTAAATCAAGTTCATTTGTTCATATGGCAAAAGTGTATATGTATTGAGATAATAATTTATTTGAGACAAAATCAAATGCATATTTTGCTGTTGTATTTTACACCTAAATCTTTGCTCTTCAGTTATGTACTTTTGTTTTAAGTTTATAGTATAGTGTCTCGCTAGTTAGTAAAATAATAGAATTTTAAAAGTCGTTTTATACTTATTGAAATGTTGTGATCTACTTTACTAAACGAGAAACACTTATGTTTTCACTTTTCACTATCTAGTGCCGTACATTCATGTTATATTTTTTCCAAAAATAGACATCGGTAAGCGCATATCATATAAATTTAAAATATATATTGTGTATACCTACTCAATAAAAAACTTCACCGACAATTTACAGAAATACAAGAAAATCAATTATTATTTATAACTTAATATGATCTATGAATGTCATCGAATGCAACGAAGTCACAATTAAGTATAACAGTTAAAACAAATTTAGATGTTTACTGATAGTACTTTGTCATACCAAACGATGAAACGAATATTATACCTAACTATAAACGAAAGTCAAGGTTAGAAGCACAATAATAATAGTTGAATACTATAATATTGAATAAAATCGGTACCAACTAAAACTGAGGAACTATCTATTTCAAGTTGTGTTACGAGATATACATAAACTACAACTTAGATCAAGTAATAATAAAATTGAAATATACTTAACCTTTATTCTAACCTAACCGATGTCACGAAGTAATGAAGTCACGAAAAATAAACAATATATCTACAAATCAAGCAAAATTCTGATAGCTACTAAAAACAAAAATAGCTAGGGGACATGTTATATATAGTATGAAGCTACCATTATTCTTTGTAGAGTTATTGAATAATAATTAGGATATATTATATCATACAATTGCTATGCCATCAAGAAATACAAATAAAACCACTCCACAAAAATATCTATGCTATGGGTTAGCAAGTTAAACTGTTCAATTCTCTGGCACAATTCATGGACAATTTCCTTTTTAATATAAATATGAATAAAATATAATGTATATACAATTTCCATAATAAATTTTAAAGTTCTTCTAAATTATGCGTGATTTAAATGAAGTTCTCACTTAGATCACGTTCATCATAATCAGGGTTGGGATTTTATAGCACTTAAAATTGCATAAATATGCGCTATAATATGACCTTAACTATCGCTAAATATGCAATAAAAACAACAAAATATGAAAAAAAAGGAAATTTATTAATTAATCACTTACAAATTTATATAAACGGCGAAAATACAACGTAACACACGAGTACAGGCACACGAGACAACTATATAAAATAAATTGACTATCATTCAACGTTGATAATCGGCGATTAATAATCGCAGTAGAAATTGACAAAAAAAAAACTCAACAAGATTAGTAGATAACAAAAATCAGAACCAAATACCTGATACGAAATTATCGTAGTATTATATTATACCTATGTATTAACGCTGTAACGGCGTTTCATCATCGTAATCGGCCTATTTACTTAATCTATAGGTACATTTACAATTTATTTGATAATTCAATTGACAAAAATCTAAAAAAACGTTTACTAAAATATAATTATATATAACATTTTGACAGATTTTAATTCAAAAACAGGTAAAAATGCAAAAAAGTCTCAAAAAACCCAAAAATAACAATAAAAACTAAAAAATCGTAAAATATGCAAAAAAAAGCAAAATAAAATTTTTTTATTTGAGTTCTCTGTATCATGAAACACATTTTTAGCTTACTCTGCTATTTTTTAAGCATCTCATAAGAAATATGCAAATGCTGTAAAATCCCAACCCTGATCATAACAATCATTATGTAGACTCAATATGTATTTTCTGAAGGTAAGTTCTAGCAACATCTGGATATTTTCTTTTTTGCTCGAAGTTTATGTCCAACAATAAATTGATTCATTTTTTACTTCAGTTAAATGTTAATATTTTTCAAGAATCTCAATAAGTCACCATATAGTATAAGATCGGACACAGTTAACAAACGCGAAAATACCCTATGCCAACCTTCAATATTATTATATGTTTTTGGGAAACCTGCAAACTGCTATTGTGTAATGTCGTATTGGTTCCACAATTTTAAATTAAATATTGGAAGCCGTATATATTTTCTCCTAATTGGTCTCAAGACCCATGTGCCTACAAAATAATTAATGAAATGGAATAATAACATTTTACTATCGATAAATAAACTGTTGAGTGTTGGGACATTAATTTATCCAATTTTCCATTTACGTGTGAAACAGGAACAAAGCCATTCTATAATTGTTGTTTTATTTTCAATGCAAATTCTGTTTCATTCGTATATTGTTGACGTATTTCTAGAAAATATATTATTTTTCACCATAAAACTTGACCAAAATGAAAAAACAGCCTCGTGATATTCAAAACTTAAAAATGTTCTACTATTTCTATTATAATTTGTAATCAATTATAACTACTATAAATGAACAAAAAAAATTTTCGTATTTCATCGACCGTCGTAAATCTCGAAATACTTGTGCAAGCAGTGCCAACCCACACAGCATGAAAATAATTATTTAAAATTTATTAAACATTTGAAAAAAAATTAACTTATTTATTAAATATTTTATTTTGATCAATGGTCAATTGTAAAATGTTTAATAAACTATTATTAATCATGTTTTGAACCCTTTTGCATTTTGAGATAAACATTTAAAAGTCAACATTACATAAATAGTGGTTAATTGTATTTATTCAATATTGGTAAACAAATGTTGCATTTACATGTTTTAAAGCTGAATAAATGTTCCATAACCATTAATGTTTATTTACTAAACATCTGATAATAATTTTTCATGGATTTTTAATAATTATTATTGAAAATCATGTATTTTTAGACTTAATTTTAAAAAAATATATAATATTAATATATTATTATATATACTATTATTATAATTTCTATAACTATAAGGTTTATTAAATACATAAATAAATAAATATATATTTTGTCTTATATAGATTGGCGCTGCAATTATATAGGGGGGGGGGCTTGGGGGACTTAGTCCCCTCAGTTAAAAATCTAGTAATTAGTACTAATTTTTATATTCTGAGGTACTAAGCAATATGGCCTATGGTGATGGGGCTTGAGTCCCCCCAAAAAATGTTGTCAATTTGCGCCTATGCTTACATACAATTTGTGTTTTCATTTGTGCTTATAAATATTAAATTTGATATACATAAATTGAAACTCCCCACCATTATTATATATATATTTAAGCATCCAGCAAAGCACTGTTTTCACGATTCAATAAAAAATGTTGAATACTAAAATTAGTCACAGTTAAAAATGCTTTAGGTGATATTATACAGTTAACTCTTTAGAGATATAAAAGTTTTCAAGAGAATTTTATTAGGCTATAGTTCAGACACTGTTAATGATTTATTTCAAATAACAAGTGTGGTAAATCATATTTGTGTATAGTTTTAACTAAATTTTATACCGTTGATTTATTATTTATGCTTTAAATTTATATTTAATAACACTCATTTGTCTCTATCAAGGCTTTAAATTAATATAATATCTATGTCTATATATCTAATTAAATACCTATACTGCAGTCATATTAAATTGATTATCACTTATAATATTTACCAATAATAGGTATATCTATATATTTTTATGTTTAGATTCAAAAGTTAAATTTGACTTACAGTAAATAACCAATATACAAGAGTTGAAAAGTTATATTGTTATATTTGTTATAATTATTACAAAATTTAATATTTAACATTATTAATACTGCTGTTGATATTATATTATTATATATAATATATTTTATTACATACTTAATATAATTATCATATTAAAAAAAAATATCAGTTATTAAATAAAATAATTATAATATTGAAATAGTTATAAAAGGGTAGGTTATATTTTTTGTGATTTTCTTTTTATGTTAAAAGGCGCTTGTGCTAGGACATATTTAATCACTTCTTCCATTTCACTTTCAGAAACTTTATTTTTATATTTAGAGTGTTGTTTAACAGCATCTAAAACAAAATTCATATTGAAATTACAAATGGCTATTATAAATATCTGTAATCATTAGAAGTAAGGCCATTTTGTAGATTATCTTACCTAAAATTACAGAACAAACAGCTAAATTTGAAAATTTTAACTTTTTGCCAGATTTTCCTGAATATGAAAAATGTTGTAATAATTCATCTGAAAATAGCTTGTTCATTATTCTTTTGATCATCGATTTATAATGTTTTCCACCAATATAACTTAGTTGGTTAGTCTTACATGAAACAAAAAATAACAGAATCTACATTTTATTCAACTGTCTAAGTATATAAGTATAACTATACAAGCAAATCAACAATTAATAATTAAAAATATGGCGTGGATATTGTTTTCTTACCAAATTAATTTGAAAGGCTCTATCTCCAGATATTTTGTCATTAAATGTATCAAGATCTGTTGTGTTGTCCAATGGTAAAATGTTATCACTTATATCATTTAATGTTGATGTATTATAACAGTTGCTACTTGTATTTGAAATGTTATTACCATCAAGACGTGTTTCTATTGATTCAATTCTTTGGGCAATGTCCATTTGATTATTGACAAGTCTTTTAAGTTCGTGTTTTACAAAAGCCAATCTATATAGCACCTCTTTTTGAAAATCACGATCTGTATATATAGTAAGAAATTAGATTTTATTATAAATAAATATTTGAAATACGTTCATGAAACAATTAGCACAGTTAATATAGTTCTGTAGTTTTATTTTGTTAATCATAATATGATGGGAATATTTTACCCAAAAAGTTATCTATAAACACGACATAGACCAATGATATAATTAAATTTATGGACATATTAAAATGCAACAAAAATGCTAAGAAATTAGCAAATATGCTATTTTCTTAAAACATATAGGTACAAAACTTCGAAAAGTCACTTTGTATATCTGTACCACAGAAGTTGAGTAACGCAAGTCACAAAAAGCAAATTTTACAGGAGAGACAAAACAAAACTATTTGTTGCAATGGACTTACAATTGTATACTTCAAAAATATCATTTTGTATTACTTTTCTTATATAAACGCTTGACATACGTTTCTATATACTCCTATCATAGTTTAGGACTTAAGTTAGTATACTTCTTGCCATCTTTGCATTTATAGTACCTACCTATATAGGACTTACGTTTTAATACATTTAAAAAGATCACAAAAAGCATATTCTGATTATATAACTAACTAAAAATTTCAAAAAATGGACTTGCGTTAGTTGACTTCTGTGGTACAGATATTATTAATTATTTCTATCTCAGAAAATAAATAATTATAAAATCTCTCTCAGAATATAATTTAAAACCACCATAAAAAATACATGCATTTAAGAAGCTCCGGAACCCATCATTGATATTAAAGCAGTAAATATAGGGACTTTATACCGTAATAAGACTATTTGATTGAATAACACCAAAAAATAAAAAATGTATAGCCATTAGAACTAATTTTAGTTATTTATCTCAAAGTTATTCCTATTTCTCTTTTTATCCTTAATTTATTTGATGGACGTATATGATTAAGACAATGTTTTTAACCTGAAGTAGTTGATGTGGTTGCAGGTGTATCGATCACAATATGTGATGCTGGCGGCAGTTTTTGTTTTTCTTGAGATGATATTATATTCATCTTGTTAGTTACACTTTTCTGTGCTTCTTCTAG